ATGTTGGCAAAGTACAACTCCAAAGTAAGTATCAATACTTACTATTTGAGGTCCCCTTCCTTCCACAGCAATTACTTCTAGCCTAGAATCAAATAACAAATCCGGCATCAGCAGCATAATTTTGATTTGAAAATGATAAGAGCACATAAAAGTCGCAGCAACTGTACGTTTAATTTTGTATGTGAACAAGCTTTCTGATGACAGGAAAGCAGTTGGCGCCCTCCTAAAGAGAGTAGTTAGTTTTCAGTAGTTAGTTTGCATGTCTTTCCACCTGAAAGTAATTGTATTGCTTCTCTCAGTCAAAGGTCAGTACCCACTGTACATTTCAATGGCAGAAATACAACATTAAATGGTGACGCGTGTACAAGCATCGTTACATTGAGCTCATTAAAAAAAAAATTTATCGATGGCAGCAATGCCTCTATGAGAAAGAACATAAAAGTAAAGATTGTAAGTACATTTTGTGGACGTACTTCTTTCAAAACAGCCTTCTACTTTCGTGAAACCCAGAAACACTGCCGGAAAAACCGGTCAGTAAAATACGTTTACAATTAAGTCTAGCACGTATGTGAGGTACTTTCCAGCTAGTTTGCAGTTTTAGCCGAAAATTGCCTCGCATCCTCATGGATTGCAATGTCATTCAAATGAGAAAATCTGAGCGTGAAAAGGGCTATCGATAAATAACCTTTGACATCTATGTCAACTTACCGATTATCTCCTCGACCTAAGAAGTGTAAAGAGAAATAGCCATTTAATTATGAAAACTTTTGGGGACTACCTCACAAGGCATCCTATACAGAATCTGCCATGCTACATGATTAATCAGTAGATAACCATTTTTTTTTAATGAGAATCTTAAGAGTTCTGGTTACCTACTGACAGTTCTTCTTTTACTAAATCTTACTTCAAGCCTAATCTAATGAACCAAAGAAAACTACCATAACCAACCACAATGTATGGATGTGATAGTACATGATTTTACTTACCTTTCCGGCGCTTTACTGTTATGTATATGATGAATAAAGAGAACAGCAGGACGAGAATTCCGATGACTGTCCCATATATAACGTCTTTACTCACTTTCTCTGGTTCAGATGGAATAGATGGTGAAATATCTAGATTTGAATTAAGTTACGTTACATTTAATCCTAAAATGTAGCATCACCAGTCGTAGCTACAAAATATTATTCAATTTAGGTAGCACTGAACCAATTGCCTTGTCATGGGCGCTCTAAAGCAACAAGGTGATTTAATATGAAAAAGGTTGTTGAATTCTGGCTAATAATAAACAATTATTGGATCAGGTTTCTGTGATATCCAGAATAAAGATCGAGGTAGAAGTTTCGGCTTCGGCTGATAACCTTTACCGAGACCTTGATTACTCTGGATATCACAAAAAAATGGAAGCCATGTTTTTGCTTCTTCAGTGACGGCAAGCAACACAAAGCGCGCGAGCTTGACATTAGTACCCTTAGATATCATACACCGTGGTCATACATGACATGATTACCCGTGACCTTGAGGTCCTTGACACGATTATTGTATAATCTGCAGCTACATGACGTCACAGGCGCTGATCTCGAAAATTCACCGTACGCTTTCGGCCAATCAGAAAAGAGATAGTGATTTCAGTGTATTATAATGAAGTTTATCCTCCTCTGTGTCACCTCGCGATAAGACCAAGGTATGCAGCCTTGGTTTACAAAGTGTTTGGTGTTTTAAGAGTTACGTACAAACGGTTAACACAGCGAAAAAAGTGGCTGGTTTGTTGACCTGTCGAAAAGATTAGTTCAGTTAAGTCTTCGCAAGTTTTGCTGGAAGGTTCTGACCGGAAGATTCACACTGAAGTGAATTAACAAATTGCGGTAGCCGACTCTTTGATGATTAGTATTTTTTGGGAGCTCCGCTTTTAGCCTTGGCTAAATATATATAGTACGCTGGACAAAACTGTTCTGGCTCGACGCCTTATGACAGAAAATTGAAACAAGAAAACAGATGCAAATAATTTTGTGATTGTCTTACTTCTTATTAAATTTCACACAAGGAAAGTTATTTTCATATAGATCACGCTGGGAAGACTTACGTTAAAGCGTATCTAAATTTGCGGACTGAATCACAAAAGTAAGGAAAATGATGTGATTTCTGAGAATAGAATAGTTAGGATTTTTTTCATGAATTCGACGACATGGCATGAGGAAGGATCGATAATCCATCTAGATAGCACTATGATCCTGTTATACATAAGCGGTTTGGAGAATCAAAGGTTCAATTAGTTGTGATACTACCACCAAAGGGCCACAAGGCAACCAAACAGCTAGGTTATTTCAAGCGTTTATGCCAGAAAATGCGAGAAAATGGCAAGCTCCAGGTAGATAAGCCCAGAAATAGGTCCGGAAACTTTCCTAAGAGCATAAATAACAGTTCCTGAAGTTCTTCTTTTGTGTAATTGTGGCTTGTACGAAGCGAGAGCTACAGACTGCCATCTTCAAAACAGGTGGAAGAACGATTTAGTGTCAAGAACAGTTTAAAGACTTGAAAGAAGATCAGTTTATGAACACGGCATCATATTTCAGTGGTCAAATAAGTTGTAAGTCTTTCTCATGATTCCTTGTGAAGTTCTTGACAGCCACCAACACGTCCAGATCTCTTTAGAAAAACAATCGAATGTGCTTCTCCTTCACTCCTTCACTCCTTCACTCCTTCACGCCTTCACTCCTTCACTCCTTCACTCCTTCACTCCTT